AAATGTATTTTTTATAATGAATTTTTTGTTCCTTATTAAATATGTATGTATTTATGATTAATTTTTTAGATATGTTATAATTGTGATAAATTATAATGATAATTTTAAAATTTATCATAAATTTCTATCATTAAAAATTATTTTTTTTTAGTGTTTGTTATATTATTTTTAATCAAATTTTTATTTTTCGTGCCATAAGGAAATATAATTAAACTTAAAGACTAGTGAGGTACATAGGTAATTCAGCCAGATTCTGACAATATGTTACAAAACATGATTGAAGGACAAACTGGAAAGACCAAAAGGAGTCCTCCATTGAAGCGCCAAACTTGACTGCTGTCTGGTGATGGAATCTTTATCGGTGATTTTTTTCATCACCAATCAAATCTTTTTTTTTTTTGAACAGTTCCTGAAACACCAATCAAATCTTTATTGGTGATGAAAAAAATGACCTTTAATTTCCAAAAATAAAAGGCAAACGTGAGCATCGCTTTCTAAGAGCATTGCCTATGGTCAGAATGACCTAAAAAAATGGAAAAAGTAAAGGTGAGAAGAATGGGGTTCAGAAAAAAAAAGCAAAGGTGAGCATGGCATTTCAAAAAGAAAAAGGTGAAGGTCAGCATGACCTGAGTAGGGCAGCATCCCATTCGCTTTGTCAGTTGACTATAAACCTTAGGTAATCGTTCCCAATCAGTGTTTTACTCTAGCTTTTGGGTGGAAAGAAATGAAGGAGAGAGAAATGGTGGAGAAATTCTCCTTTTTTTTAATAAATAATTAAATTAAAAATTAAATTAAAAGGCACTTGATCTTTTGGATCAATTGACAACTTATCAGTTTGAGATATATTTTTTTTTATGGAGGGGGTTTCGAACCCACTCCTTGACAACTCGTTAAAAAAAAAAAATTAAAAGAAACATTTTTGGTCCCCTCTCTTCTAATTTTTTTTATAATTAAATAATTCTTTTTTTCCTTTTATTGCCTTTAATTCAAATATGCTATTAGGTTACGACAATAAACAAAGCGAGTCACCGATGATTACGTTCCTATATGTTTATGTACTTCTAGGATATATTGTTTATATATATATAGGTTGATAGAGGGAGGGAGTGTAACGAATTTAGAGTACCTTTTTACTTCTTAATTTTTAATAAAATATTAATTTTTATTGTTAAAA